ATTTACTTAAGAATTAGTAAACTATTTAAGTTCAGTGATACCATTTATCAATATTTATTTAATTTTATTTTTTTAAATCAATATTTATTTTATGATCAATATTTATTTTATGATTCATATTTCAAGCAATAAAAGATATTTATAATTGATTCTTAATATTTAAGACTGTCTTAAACACAGCCTTAAAATGTCGTAAAATAATTATAACAGAGCCGTATTAGTATCTTAAGACATTATTTGTAAATATTAGACAAGGATTAGGAATAAATGAATGGAGGAGCGCGCGCCGGCCCTGAGCGCCGCATGGATAAGAGCGATTATTCGTTAACTTTAACCAGCTCTCCTGCCAAAATTACTTGTCAGATCAAAATTTGCTAAAAGAAAAAGTTGTTACTTTTAGCACAAAGTATAACGTCCTGTACTCCGAATGCGCCAATTCTGGGACACCCTGTATATATAAATTCTGAAAAATTATATGAAGAATTTTAAGAAAAATTTTCACAAGATTTGCCTTTGTTGAGATTTCGTAAAATCTTAATTTTTATATTAAATCTGAAAATTGTTATTGTTTGTTTGCATTTCTTCGCTCAGTATTTAGAGCAAGGAGTTTACGACAAGGTAGCGGAATACTTAACGCTGATGGGACGCACGGAGCTGCTCACTTGTCTGGCCACGCAAAACAGCTTCGGCAAGATTCGCGATCAAGCTCAGCAGGTATCTAAAGATCGATATCGATAAAGATAGAATAGATCAGTAATATTATTCGTAATTGCAGTAACTGCAAACATTATTTTACCATTTATTTTAATTTTTATATTCCTTATCTGTTTACTCTGAGATTTGTATCTTTTTAATTTTTACCATGTTGATATTATAATAGTTTAAAAATTCTTATTTTTAAATCACATTTTTGAATCACAACAGGGAAAGAGAAAATTTATGAATAATAATGTTGAATTGCAGCTCACTAGAGAGTACAATATCCAATGCTGCTGTTTATACTATCCCGTTTTGAAGCAACACATTCAATACGACTTTGAGCGTTGCGATAACGATCCGGTAGATAGGTTCGTAGATCGTTTCTTTTTATATATTATAAGGTATTTTATATAAATGTATATTATATTTATTATGTATAACCTTATATTATTACATTTTTCCGATATTTTGTATACATGAATTTGAATTATTTATTAATATGGATAATTTTTTTTAATCATATTGATATGATAATGAAATAACTATTAAATGATTAATATTAAATTAGTATTGCAAAAACTTTTTTATATGAAACTAAATTTTAATAGCATGATCTAGATGATATTTTTGATGAATCTAGGGTAACTGCCGATCATTCGGCGGCGACGACATTGGGCAAAGAAGCGCGTCGCTGGTCGACGAAAATTGCCCGCGAGGTCAGTAGCATCCGTGAAAATAATCGGAAACTTCAAGTGTTATACCAACTCAAAGAGGCTGGTCAGAAGGTTTGTATTACTGGCTGTTCTAAAAAAAAGGATGTCACTAACATGATTGTAATGTTCTAATTTTATTAAAGAATCATCGAAATTCTATGTTTTTAATAAACTTCAAAATACAATATAGTTTCAAAAATTTATATTTAATAATGATTTTTTATCTATTTTATTATTACAAAATTTTATTATGAGAATTGATAAAAATTATATGTATAAATTGTAAGATTTTCTAATTTGATTTTTCAGACTGATCCGAACGATCCTAATGGTCCAGATTTAGATACTAAAATCGATGAGTTAAAGCACTCTGTTCGACGAGCGGAGGTAAGATTTAATTTCCATAAAAAAAAATAATTTATTTTGACATATCTAAAAATTAAATTACGTGACTTTTATAACGTTTGTATATTTATATTTTTTATACACACATTTATAATTTTTTTTTTAACAGACAGCAAAACTCAAGGCAGAAGCGAGGATAGAATGTCTTCGACTTGGAGGAGGTCCGTTAATAATTTTTTAAAAATTTTAATGAAAAAACAATTTTATAAATTGATTTATACATTTTATTTATTTTATCTTGTTTGTATTTTTACAGTAAACGTAGACGAATTCTTGCAAGAGGCTGAAACACTCAGCGTTCAAGACATGCCGCGTTCGGCCAGTTCTCTCTCCGTTAGGACAGATGCATCTGGTGCAGCGGTAATTATCAAAATGTATAACATAAAATTCGCCGAATTTTTCTCTAATAAAGATAGATATATTCTATATAATTATGTAAAAAGTATATTGCCTATATTTTTTTAATTTTAAAATTTTTTATTTTTAATGTTAGCTATTTAAATAATAATATTCGATAGTTGCAACAGAAAATTTAAACGCACTCATTATGACACCATACAGTGTCAAGAATAAAAATGAATGTATATAAAAAAGTTGTGCACAAAGTTCTTCTAATTTCTAATACAAGACAAAGGAATGTATTTATAGTTTTTTATCTCTAACGTTAGCCATTTAAATAATAATATTCGATGTTGCAACAGAGAATTTGTCAACCGATTGCACTCATTGTGATTTTATATACGATATTTCATTTAGGAACATCCGTCATCGGACTCATTCTACGACAGCGATGGCGACGGCGGAAGCGACCTAACGACTTTGGAGCGGCCCGGAAAAAATGCGGCTCAGCAAGAAGAGGACATCGAAGAAAGGCAGAGGCATGACAGTGCCGAGGTTGATGGTACGCAGATAATTTTTGCGTATAACTTTTCTAAGTATTTACATAATTTATTTAAATATCATTTTACATTAAATACTATTGGGCACACTAATTTCCTTCAGCTCTGATTGAATAAGGCGCTTAATTTTCACTTATTTTGTATAATTAATTTATCATTTGTATTAAGTATATTTAACACACATATTTTACATACCATATTGAAAACAAAAGATTATCATTTCAGCATTGCTGGAACAGGAGAAGCAACGAATAGAGCAGCTAACGGCAGGCTGGGACGATCCTACAGCGGTTGACTGGGACAACGAAGAGAAAGATGAGCAAGAAATAACGCACGAGACACCAGAGATGCCTTCTAACCAACCCATATACAAGTGCACTGCTCTATACTCCTACACAGTAAGCGTTAATTTTGTAGAATTATGTTTCATGAAATAAATACAGAGTATCGATTGTCGAGGAAATTAAATAGCACTCCCTGCATCAGAGATATATCTTTGATCGAAGTGACTTTTATATATATATATATATATATATATATATATTCTGTGAAAACGGAAATTTTGTTTAGGCGCAAAATCCCGACGAGCTTTCCATCGTGGAAAGCGAGCAGCTGGATGTGGTGGGCGAAGGCGACGGCGACGGATGGTTAAAGGCAAGAAATTACCGTGGAGAGGAAGGCTTCGTTCCCCAGAACTATCTCGATGTAGAAAGGGAGCCTGAGACCACCACCGGTCTAACTTCGCAGGGCCCAGGTCTGGTCCAGCAGATTTCCTTCTCGTCTGTCGACTACACCATTGACGATCACGACGCCGTCGATCCGGATGCCAATTTGCAAAGCGCCACTTCGGAAGCCGTAATGCAAAACCACGTAGGAGGTACATCGGAGAATTCAATTCGTTTGTAACTTTTGTTCGTTTCGACAGGATATAAAATTTTAGATATCCAAAAATGATGAAGTAACACGATATGCACATTAAGTTATAGAAATGGAGGAGTACTGCATCGCGCTTTACGATTACGACGCGACGTGCGATGAGGAGCTGAGCTTTTTGGAGGGCGAAATCGTTAAGGTGCTGAAAAAAGAACCACATGACGTAGATGACGGCTGGTGGGAAGGTGAGCTGAGAGGCCAGAGCGGTCTCTTTCCCTCTCTCGTCGTGGAACCTTGCGGTCCAGATGGATGTCCGTTGACCCCACAGGTGAGAAATTAAATAATGTTGTTTTAAATAGATCACACATATGTAACAATAAAATTTGTAAATAAAATTAGTCTTACATCATGAAAATGATATACTGTACGTTGAAAATATAAAATTAAATAAATTAAATTGAAAATATTAAATTAATAGGGATTAAAATTGTAAGATATAAATTACATATATATATATATATATATATATATAGGTATATATATATATATATATATAATTATACATATTATATATAAATTAAATTATATATAATTACATTATATATAAATTATATATAATTTATATATATAATATATATTATATTATATATAAATTAAATTGAAAATATTAAATTAATAGAGATTAATCCCTATTAATTTAATATTTTTAGTTTAATTTATTTAATTTTATATTTTAATTACATATACATGGTCTGTCCAAAAAGTAATGAGACTAATTTTGGCGTCCCAATCAGAGTTGTCGGAGAGTGGATCCATTGAACGGTGCCTTTGGTATTGGAAGTTAAGTATAGTCTGATCCTTTCCAGTTGCCTCCGAGCCTTTGTAGCAGTCGATACCGTTTAATAAAGTGCAATTTTTGTGTCTTGTCACGTGTGAAAATTCAGCAGTCTTGAGCAGCGATTAAATTCTGCGGGAAACTGAAAAAATCTAGTTTCGAAACGTTGGAGATGTTGAGAATAGCTTATTGGAATGTTGCTTTGTCTTCAGAATTTGACCGTAATGTTACTCAAAATACAGCACAGTCTGTGCTGAATTTTCGCCCGTGACAAAACACAAAAATTACAACGCACTTTGCTGACGGTATCAACTGCTAGAGAGGCTCGGAACTGAGAAGACCCTCCAGTTCCAATCTGACCCAGATTGTATACCTGACATCCTGCAGAAAAAAGGCCCTGACCATGGATCCACTCGCCACAATTCTAATTAAGCCCCCAAAAAATAGTCTATTACTTTTGGGACAGACCACATATATGTATACAGAGATCGGCATTATCGATATTTTTAGTAATATTTTTAACTCTGATTAACGATTACTTAAATAATTATTAATTAAATTTAAAAAATTTTTTATTACTTGATTAATCATTAATCGAAATAAAAAAATTTTTGATTACTTAAATAATCGTTAATCAAAATAAAAAAATTTTTAAATATTCAATTAATCATTGATCAA